GAAAGATGTCAGGTCCTTCCATTCCCATCTGGCAATGGTCAATGAAAGCCAATTTCATCTTAAATTCTTCAAGAGAAAGGATTACCACAGATTACCACATACAGTCCATTTTACATTAGGAAAAAAAATATTCTTTTAATCAGCCTAACTTTTCCCCTGCTTCTGTGAAAACCATACCCTGAATGCTCAGGTAGAGTTCCTTCTTCTGGAGCTGCTCCCAACAGGTAAGGACGTCCTTGGTAACCTGATCACGGCTCTATCTGAACCCACCCAGGTGATCGTACTGACCCCAGAGAGATCATTTCTGGTCCCCCATTTTTAAGTTTGTAAGATATACGTGGGAATTCTCTCATCCTGGTGCTCAGGCCAGAATTCTCTGGAACTGATCACTCAGATACAGCAACTATATAGCATATGGTGTTTGCATTCTGAGTTTGCTGGTCTAGGACCCGCATTTTAGCAGTTCTGTTATTGTCCCAGGTTATGAAGTTGCCAAAAAAAAAGGCTAGGATGAGGGAGGTAGCATCTTTAAATGCTGTCTATAGGAGGTAGAACAGGTTAGGATAATGTTTCTCATACTGTAACCCTTAGACTACCTGCTTCGAATCTCCCAGAGCAAATAACAAATGCTTAGACTCCTGGGGCTGCTCCAGACCTGTTGAGTCATATTATATGGCTCTCCCTTAGAGGTTCTCAAGCTTTTTCCCACGAAATAATCTTGCTCCTTACCAACACCATGACACTTTCAGATATTCTTGAAATAAACAACTATATGGTTATCGTGTGTGTGTTTATTTTAACCATAGGTTTAGTGGTAGTCAAGTCCAGTATGTTAAATTGCCTGAAAAATTATAGACACCGAATTGAAAGACAAGTGGTTTTGCTGGACATTCTTCTGTCTGCATCTGCAAGCCCACCCTCCAACCTTTTCCTCCTGCTCTGTGCTGGGAATCTCACCAATGTGGACTAAAGAATCAGTCTTCCTTGGTCACCAGCTCCTGCTTGGATTTACCCAGTGGGCAGCATGACAGGAGAGCGGAAGTGGGAAGAGAGAGGATAGGGATTTTGCCTGTGGGGCGCTCTCCTTGTGGGGGAGGGGTGGCATGAGTGGCTGTATTCCTTTCTGATGGTTCCGGAAGGCCTCTCCCTGAAAAGCTACTACCTCTAAGTTCAGGCAATGGTTCTATCTTCTTGCCCCGGCAGGCCTGAAGTGCTAATGACTCATCACTGCTGCCAGCCGCAGGGTTCCCCCAAGGTCCACCTACTCTTTTTTAGCTGTTGTTATAGGACATGTGCACTTGCTGGAGAGAGACAAAGACAGACAGAGAGGAGGAAAGTGAGAAATCACTTCCTAAAGAGATGGCCACGCTGCAATCTCTTCTCCTCCGTTCTTCTCTAGGGATTTTGGGCATGCACATACATATATCCAGAATGTTTTACACACTGCTAGGTCCAGAATTCAAACCATGAAGTCAGCCACATGGGATCCAGCACCTTAATCACCACACCACCTGCTCAATACTTCTCCCTGGCTCAATTTCAGTAAGCCACTCTTCCTGTTGGGACCTTGATTAGTACAATAGTGTTGAGTGGTTAATTACACAGGCTTTGAGGTAAATCAATGCTTGAGTTTGAATTTGCAACCTTGCAGTATGTCTGACCTTGAGTGACTCAGTTAATATCACTGGTCGCCTCAATGGACATCACAATGCCTAACCAATAGCGGTCATGGTTATCAATGCTCACAGCAGAATCTGACTCTGGCTATCTTTCACAGCAAGGGGCTTTGGGAAGGCTGTTAGTGACTCACAAAGTAGATGAGAAGCCTGGAGGGCCAGCTTTAGAAAATGGGCAGAAACCAAGAAAGAATGGACAGTAAAGACCACGGTTGAAGTCATAGCATAAGACAGCCTAGAGCTGTCACCACTGATGCTACCACCTTGGACACCTGAAGCCACCAGTCACTTGCTGCCATATGACTCCTAGACTCTGAATGCTCACATTGCCTCTGTGTAAGTCATCTCCAACTGGAACTGCATTTTGTGTCACACCCTCAGGATCCAGAATTCTGGGCAGAATCACACATTGGTCAAACTTCAGGGCAAGTCGCATGCCTGCACCATAGCTGCCAGGGAAAAGGGGGGAGGGATATTAGTTCCTACTTAAGTAGAAGGACAAGTGGAGTTCTGAGTCCTGGTGAGATTCACACACAGGGACATGTTCCCAGAATGGGAAAGTTGTTTGGTGCTGGAGAGTGAAATGATGACAAACATCCATTTGCAATCTCTCGACAGTAATGAGATGAAGTGAGATGACCTGAATAAAGCGCCTGGTACACAGTAGGACTTCAATCCGTGGTAGTTACTCCCATTACTATCCCGCCTATGCCTAGCCTCACTAGCTCAGGAAAGCACCCATCTCATACACAAGCACAACACTCGTAGGGTGCCTCAGGGCCCAGCTGACCTCTGAGAGCTTTAGCAGGTGTTGTCTCTTTGGACCCCTTGCCTCAGATTCACCTGGACTATTGGTTGAAATGCAGATTCCTGGGCCTCTCCCAGACCTGCCAAATCAGAATGGCTGAGGGTGGAGCCCAGGCATGTGTATGTACCAAGCTTCTTGAGTGATTCAGCCTCATGCCCATACTTGAGAACCATGGCAAAGAATGAGATGAAAAAAGGCAGATCACTATGAAAGCTTGATCCAGGACTCAAAGGATAAGCGAAATTTGGATGCAAGTATCATTCCAAGTAAGGAGAATGGCGTGAGGGGTTACAGGATGCAGTGGTCGGTGGCCACTGAGGAGAACGCCATGGTGATTCGGGGAAGTGGTAGAGCAGACGGGATTTCGGACGGGTGGGTCTATGCTTGTTAGGTGGAGAACGGGGAGCTGTTGAGTGTTTCCCAATAGGACTGTGACATAATAAAGGCAGGAAGGAAGATGTCACAAGGGCAATGGCGGCTCCTTTCTTCATCTTCTGCATTTGTCTAAGCTGTTCCCTCTCCTCACATTTCCCCAAGGTTTCTCAATTGCAGTGTAAGAACCCAGCCTTTTGGGGAAGACAGTGAAAACCTCGGTGGGGCAGCACCTTCCACAAACTGGAAGAGGCCCTGGGCCACTGGCAGATAGCAGATCCAGGAAGAGAGGAAAGATGGAGGGGTTAGGACTCCGCAAGTGGCCGTGGCTGCTGCTGCTGCTCCTCCGTGTCTCAGGTAAGGAGGGGCAGGTGAGGCGGCTGGAGGAGAGGAAGGTAGACAGCAGAGGGGAGGGACCTTCTAAGAGTTTCCTCCCATTTCTTCAGTACGGACCGGGATGAAGTCAGGATATGTGTTAGAGACGGGAAAGGGAAAGTAATAGACGCAGACCGGGCTGACCCTGCAAGGACTGAGCGATGAAACAGAAGCTGGAAGTTTCTCTAGAGCACCCTGAAGGTGAGAAAATGGCGTGAAGTCAAGCAAGCAGCCCCCTAGCGCTGTGCTGATGTCCTAGGAGATACAAAAAAGTGTAAGGCAAAGTGTCCCTTGGAGGAAGATTCAGTCACAGAGTACACAGGAGGCACTCATAGAGGAAAAGATAAGCAACGACAGAGGGCCAGGTAACAACGGGGAAGCAAAACGGCAGCAGAAGCCACTCTGGTAAGACAAGGCAAGGGAGTATGGAAAATAGGAAAAGGAATCTGGATTAGACAAGCTGGGTTCAAAACCCACTGCTGCCACTTTCTATTATGGAACTTTGAGAGAGCCCCCAAACCTCTCTGAGCCGCAGATTCCCTATTTGTATATAGCACCGATGGCAGGTATTCATTTGTACACGGTTTCTGCTTCAGAAGGCTGTCCTAAGATGGCTGACTGATGGAAAGGTCTTGACTCAGTATCTAGGGAACAGTAAGCAATTAACAAAATTGGATGATGCCGCCATAACCAGATGTGAGGTAATCCCATGCTATTGAGGGTGGAGGGGAGAAAAGATCAGAACCAGCTGGGATGGTTTGGGGAGACCCCTCTGCGACCACATGGGATGACCATGTGTGGAGAGGAGAGAAAAGAGCAACCAGCCTGGGGACGTCAGGAGCTAATATAAAGGACTGTGAACTAGAAAGCAAGGGACATATCTGGGCAATTACAAGTGGTATCGAAAATAGGTAAAGGGGGCCGGTGAGTGGCGTGGTAGTTAAGAGCGCTGGGTTCCCACATGACTGATCGCAGTTCGAGACCCGGACCTAGCAGCTTGCTTTCTCATCTTCTCTCACTCTGTCCCCATCTGATCAAATTAAAATAAAAAAGTTAAATAAAATAATTCTTAAAAAAAAA